TGGGCCGTGCGAGTCCACATCCATTGACAGTGGGGATCCCGTTCCCCTGTTGCAGACTGCAGTGCAGCCCAGAGAGCAGGACGTGTGGCCGCGGTGGGAGAGGAATAAAGAGTGACGCTGTCCTTGCTTCTTTGCCTCCTGCCCTCGAGTTCTGGGGAGAGCTGGGCACTTGCCTCCTGTCCTCGAGTTCTGGGGAGAGCTGGGCACTTGCTGGGTGTCTGACAGGAAAACCTCCCTTGTCCCCACCGCTGCCTGAAGTCCCTCCTTCCCTCTAGCTGGACCCCCAGAAGGCCCCGCTTTGGCCAGGACAAAGCCTCTTCTGTGCTGGAAGCAAAGCTACAACCGGGAGAATGAGTCACCCCCCCGCCCTTCAGTGGCCCTGGGAACTGGCCCTGTACACCCGGAGCCTGGGCTGGCCTGGCGCAGGGGAGGGTTGCCCTCAAACCAGTGTGTGCTGGGGTCACCTGGAGCTCCAGCAAGGAATTGCAGGTTCCGGCTGCTCAGGACCATATGCTGTGGGTGGTCCTGTGCCTTCTGGGGCAGGCCCATCTCCCCACCCTTGCTATGGTCCCTGCTCCCTCTGTCACACTTGGCACCAGCTCTTGGCCTGAATCTCCGTTTCCCATGCCCCCCACCCCCACCCCAGCGTGGCCCACTGACCACACATGCCCTCGGTGGTTGGCTCTCAACTGAAAAAAAGATGAGGTGTTGCTTTCTCCAGGAAGTCGCCCTAGATACCTGAGGCTTCTAGGTGTTCCCATCCACCCCCCTTAACCCCTGCTCCTGCAACTTGTGATTATCCTGTGACAGGGCCCCGTCTCCCTGGGGGGTGCTGGAGCTGACTTTTATCCGGATCTCGCCCAGCTCAGGACATGGGGTTAGGTGGTCAGTCAGCAAATGGGAAATGCATGAGTGGGCAGGGGCACTTCCAGTTTGGGGGCTGGGACCCAGGGGTTGGGGTGAGGGACACTTGAGCCCTTCAAATTGGGGAGGGGGCTAGTTAAGGGTTGAGAGCTAACAGGTGAGACTATCCTGGTTGCCCTGCGAACTTGGAAGTGATGTGCGTGCATTACCTGAGCAGGAAGGGGCGGGTCGTGAGCCTGCTGAGATCAAGGGCAAAGCAAACAGACATATGGCTTTACCTGCATTTCCTCCCAAGGCAATAAAACAGCAGATGTGAAAAATGAGGCGGTGCGTGGAGGCAGAAGCCAAGTGGTCTTGGCAGCCTGTTTGGAGCAGGGCGGCTGCCAAGGCAGAAGGGCACAGACTCGCTTGGCTGCCCTTGATTTCCTCAGCCACCTCCGTACCTGGCAATGACCTCCACTACCTCCCACGTGCAGCCCGTGGGCCCAGGGACTGCGCCCAGAGAACTATAGCTCGGGGACCCTCCCTGCTTCCTCCACTTGGACATCGAGGGCCTCTCCCAAACTGAGCCTCTTAGAATCTCCACCTTCTCCTCAAACATGCCCACCCACGCGGTCCATTCCCTCCCAGGTACCCAGGCCATAACCCTGGTGTCAACCTTGACTCTCCTCTCCCATACCCCGGATTCACCTCCAGTGCTGACAAGGAGGCCTTCCTGCACCACAGCCAGGCCGACTTCAAGTACAACCCAGCCCCAAGCGCTCTCCTCTACAACACTGCAGGCCTCCCCTACCAGGAGTCTGATCTCTCTTGTTTATTATTCATTCCTCCTCACTAATATATAAGATCCGTGAGGGCAATGACGTCTGTCTTGGTAGCTGCAGGGTCTCCAACAGTGCCAGCAGGGGGTTTGTGTCTGACTGCTTGGGAGAGGAAGCCCCTTGGGCAAGGAGTGTGGTGAGAGGCACTTTGCAGAGACTAGACACACCTTGTTAAGTGGTCTTCTGTCATCATGGTCTGCCTTGGCCGTGGAACACCACCCAGCCTGGGGCCACCCATCCTCACAATTGTTTGAGCCCATTGTCCCAGCCATCGGATCGCCCGTCTTGCTGAGGGTCTTCCTCATGTTCACTGACCCTCCACGTTACCAAACATCATGCCTTTTCCCAGGCACGGGTCTCTCCTGAGAGCATGCTCAAAGTGCTTGCACAGAGTCTTGATGTCCTCACTTCTAAGGAGCATGCTGGCTGTACGTCTAAGACAGATTCCCTGCGTTTTCTGGCGGTCCCTAGCACTTCCACTGTTCCTCGCCAACATCACAATCGCATTGATTCTTTGGTCTTCCGTATCCCGCCTCCAACGTGCACAGGCCTGTGGGGTCATGGAAGATGCCGCAGCTTGGGTCAGCCACGCCTTAGTCTTCAGCTTTGCTCTTCCACCCTTGAAAGAGGTCTTGCGCAGCAGATTTGCCCAGTGCACTATGTCGTTTCATGTCCGGGATGCCTCATCCCTTGGGGCCTCAGTTTCCCCAGCTGGAAAAAGAGTGAGCTGGAGAGGGTCATTCCAAAGGGCCTCGCACAGTGGGCCCCACCATCCTAGTCATATCAGTTCTCTCCCGGAGCGTCCCAGATGCTCATTTCAGCATTCCAGGAGAGAAAACAGTGCTTTGCTCACTGGTCTATGAGATAGTTAAGGTTTAGTGTGCCAACCTGGCCGATAAACACGTGTGGGGTTAATTGAAGGCTGGAAAGCCAAATGGCTCAGTGAGCCTCGCCTTTCTAGTTCTCGGGTCTCTAGCTTTCTGATGGTCAGACCAGGGTACAGCTGCCTTAGCCAGTTCCCTGCTTCAGCATGATAGGCTCACTTCCTGCAAGACATCCCTGGGGAGAAGCCACATGGACCTACCCCGATGCAGCACTGGGAGCAGCCGTGTGGAGACCCCTGCCAGCGCTGAAATGCTTACATGTTCACGGATTCGGCTTTCCTCCTGCAGTCGGTGTCAGTGCGTGTGTTTTGTGAGATGGAGGAGGACTTTGTGGATTGCTATTGGACATATCAGCTAATGTTGGACTTGCGGGCTTGGGCAGCACTGGGTTGGGCTGTTTTCTTGATGTGCACTTACCCTTCATATAAAACTCTCTCTTATACATGAGTTGCTGTGGATTTGTTTCTCTAATGTACCCAGACTAACACAGTTTATTTACTTGATTTTTGGGATAAAGCGTTTTCTTTAGGCGATTAAGGATATTAAATAGTACAAACAAGAAGCAACTATCTCCCCTGAGGCCACCCTGGTGATGTGTGTCGGAGTGGAATGCAATGAGAGCCCTCCACCTGATTTCCCGGGTCACCCCTTTGCCGTCAGGTCTCTTGTGACTCACGGTGACCCCATAAGCTACACTTAAAGGGGGGAGGGGAGAGAGTCACTTAAATTACATCCTTTATTGAGCTATACCCAACTATTCCTGCGTACCATCAACAATAAAATATGAATGTGGTGGTACTTGACTTTTTTTACACCGAGCCTGGAAAAGTTGGCATGCGTTTTATACGGAGAACGCATCGCAATGCACACTGACCCCATTTCAAGGGTTCCGGAGCTACAAGTAGCTATTGCGCATCAGCAAGTGCATTCTGACGCGGTGACCGTCTGTGACAAGGTAGGATTGTCCTGAGGCAGTTTTCTAGGTTGTCCTCTTTAGGGGAGCAAATGCCAAGTCTCTTTTCCCTCGAGGTGCTGGTGGGTTTGACACCTCCGTCACCTTGAGGGTGGCAGCCGCGTGCCTAACCGTGGCCACACTGGACAGAGCTGGTCCACCACCTGAACTAGCCATCACTTGTGGATGGCTTCACAAAAGTCTTCTTAGATAAACACAAATTATCCTATGGAAGGTTTACAAGCTGTGTCTTTTATATTTTTGCATGTTGCCTTTATATTTGGAGGACAAGGTCACTGGTATTAAAACAAGCCCTGGGCCATACTTGCTTCTCCAGAGTGATTAATTGTGTGTGGACTTGGCTCCACTTCACTCTCCCATTGAATATTGTTATGAGGCTGATGAACGCAAGATTGATAGGTCAGACCGCAAGGTTTCTGGCTGTGGAGGTGAAAGACTTCAAAGTCAGCATGTGAGATGTCAGGCTGCTGACAACTCCCAGGATCAGTAGGCGAAACGGGCCACTGGCTCAAGCTCAGAGCAGATGACGAGCCAGATGCAGGATTCAACCCCAACAAAAAGCAAGCAAACATTTCCACAATGTCTACTGATATGGGAAGCACAACTCCCACCCCCACCCCCTGAGATCTTGGGAGCTCACTACATCTTAATTACCAACCACTGAGAATCCTGGCCCTGTCCAATGGACATAAAACCTTAACACAGACACCGAGTGGTTGCTGAGGTCAGGTCTGAAAAACCTTGGGGAATGCTGGATACTAAGTAAGTCTGACTGCCTCGAGACCACGATGCTGGAGGGGACACGTGGTATTAGATGCTCTGGCCCCAGCTGAGTCCAGGCCTATCCTGTGCAGACACTGGTCATGTGAATAAAGCCATCTCGGATCCTCCAGCCCAACCGAGCTACCCACTAGCTAAGCACCACTGGGTCACCTCAGACAATGCCCAGGAGCATAAGAAACGTCCAGCTAGCCCTGCCTACGTTTCTGACCCATCGTATCCACGAGGAGCCACAAGAGCAGCCCTGTGGCAACATAGCTTAAGTGTTGGGTTGCAATCTACAAGGTCAGTGCTTCAAAGCCACCA